GCGCGGCCTCCCGCTGCCGGCACATCTCCCACCGCGGCGGTGAGTGAGGGGCCACCGAGGGGGTGGGGGGATATCCTCTTCCCGCCCTTTCTCCCCTCAGGCGGGCGAAGGCTGACGCCGCCCGCCGCTCCCTGAGGGCTGCAGTCCCCCCCCGGCTCCGGGCGCTGAGGGGCTGATGCCTCCCCGCTCCCTCGGGACGCTTCTCCCCCACGTCGGGAGGGTCCTGAGGGGCCGCCGCGCCTTTGCCGGCCGCTCGCAGCGGGGCTCCCTTTAAACCTTTCTCCCGCAACCTAATTTTAGGTGCCACCTGCTGACCGGTGCTTGATTTCAAAGCTGAATTAATCTCCCAACTCGAAACGCGGCAGCCGAAATCTGCGTGTTTTACGTGGGGTCGTGATGGTTTCCCTCGCAAACGTATATATTTTTTTTCCTCCCTAATGATTCTGTATTATGGGATTTCTCTTCCTAACGAGAGAGGCGGCTGACTGGTGCTTAGATCGGGTACAAAAGCTCAATCTTCTTGCCTTTATCTGCCGATGTGCTTTGCTTTCTGGTTTCAGAAGAAAAGCAGTTCGCTGTGGCTCTGTTCTCGCTCCCTCTGCTGTTGCAGACAGTCGATGGGTCAGTGCTGTGATAAAACCGATCTCATTTTGAGAGTCTTGCCTCCTCCGTGCCCCTTGCGCCAAGGCTTTGTGGGTAGGCTGGGTGCTTCTGTCTAAAATAGCTAAAAGATGTCTTTAAAGTTTCTCCTGCCTTTTCCAAAGCATTGGGAGAAAAACACCAAAAAAACCAGCAAATTGTATTTTGTTGTTCTTTGAAGATCAGTTCTGCGCTTTTCCCTGCTGCCCCATTCAATTCATGAACCTAGTGTCACTAAGTTTTCTAGTAAATATTTTTCCCGAAGTTCCATGGGAGATATGTCAGTTTAAACACTTTTCAGTGTCATATCTAGTGCAAGTTTATGCAGTGTCTGATCGCAGTTCCAGCCAATGGTCCTTAACTATTTCTACTGCCTTGAATTATTAAAATATAAAAACTAGAGGTGATCTCTTCTAGATTTTATTACTTGCATTTCTTTCATTTAGTTTATATGCCAGCTTAAGTTTCTTTATAACTATGGTCTTAAGTATAGAATAAAATGCACCTTTCCACTTGGAATGCATATATTAGCCATTTCCTGGTAGGTATGTATTTTCTTTCAACAAACAAAGGTTCTCAATTTTGATTGTTACCTGTTTGTTTGTTAATTTGCAAGCTATTAAAAACTTGCAGATGGCTTTGTTGGAACTTGGTATGATCTCCTTAATCTTCTTTTCTTCTCTTCTCACTTCTTTGCAATGACCTTAGTTAAGATACACAGCCCGAAGCTTAGAATGCAAGTGTTTTGGCCAGTTGCACTAATCACCACTAGAACAACAGGAAAGCCTTACTCATTGGGAGGATTATTCATTAGGTGTTCAGAGACAAAGTCCACCGTCTTCAAATTGTTCTGTGTCTGCATGTTTGCTGTGAAATGCACCTATGGTAGAAGTACAGCCCTTAGCATCTTGGCAGCTTATTGCTCATCAGGTACTATGAGACTGAAGATCACTTACTCTTTACTCTGTGTAGTATTTACCTTGTTACTTCAATTCCTGTGGGACTTAAATTCTTATCAGGCTTTAGTCATCCTGTAGCTTTAGACTCGGCGTCAGGTTTCCTATTGCATTACTCCTATTAACTTCGGAGATCAGGATAACACTTAACTTGTTTTGCTTTTTCCTCTCTGAGATGAAGCCTTGTAGGTGAAGTTTTTTAAGTCTGTGGGGTTTGATTTTGCTTCTTTCTTCATGCAGGAATTTTCTTATCTCAGTTTATAGCTCATCAGTGGAAGCATCTCTGAATTATTTCTTCACTTCTGCATAATTTTAACATTGGTCATTTCTGAGATCAATCTTGATACTCTGTGTTACAGTCCTCTGTCAATGCCAGCTGCATGGACCGAATTGCAGTGTCTTTGAAACAGGGTAGCATGACGATTTTTATGGAATCGCAGAATAGCTGAGATCGGGAGGGACCTCTGGAGATTGTCTCGTCTGACTTGAGCAGGGCCAGCTAGAGCAGCTTGATCAAGACCTTGTCCGCTGAGGTTTTTAATACATCCAGGGATGGAGGCTCCACAGCCTCTCCAGGCAGCCTATTCCAAAGTTTGATCGCTCTTACAAAAAAACCCTAGTGTTTTTTCTTATGTTTATCAACTAAATTTCCTGTATTTCAATTTGTTCCCATTGCCTCTTGCCCCTTTCCCTGGGCACCACTGGGAAGAGTCTGGCTCAGTCTTCTTTTCTCCCTCCCATCCGGTATTTATACATGTTGGTAAGATCCTCCCAAACCTCTCTTCTCCAGGCTAAACAATTCCAGCACCTCAGCCTCTCATTGTATGCAAGAATCTCTCATCCCTTAATTTTCACAGCCCTTCTCTGGACTTGTTCCAATAGATCCGTGTTTGTCTTGTACTTTGGAGTCCAGAACTGGACGCAGAACTCCAGATGCAGTTCCACCAGTGCTGCGTAGAGGGGAACAATCACCTCCCTTGACCTGCTGGCAACGTTTTTCATAATGGGCTTCTTTGCTTATATTGCAGGGAAAAAAACCCAACAAAACAGCAGAACTTCTAAGGGTCATCTTGAGCCAGTGCTTGATATTGGCTCCCTCTTGTCCCATGGTGGTGCTTTCAAAGCTAGAGCATGCAATCGTAATGTTTGGATGTGGTCACCTTCGCTCACAGGCTGCTAAAGTATGCTGGGGAAGGTAATTTCTGCATGGGAAATGCATGTAGTTCACAAGGCAAATGCACGACACGTGAATCTGGAGGTGCATTTAAGTAAATAAAATGTCAGAAGCTCTTCAGTCAGCCCAACCTTTTCATTTTTAAGGAGGGAAAATTTAGTACATCAAATAACTTGCTTGTTGTAGTTCCCTTTTCTGAGTGTGGTTTGTGAAAGCCAAGTTGCTGATTCAGAATTCCTGTTTCAGCTGATCTATCAACTTTTTTCCTCATTTCCCCTCAACTCTACAAGTCAGGCGTTTTGCTGCTGACTGGTTTGACTCGCCCTACCTACCTCTCTGACATGTGACTTGTTAGATCAGTCACCTAAAGTTTTATTTTTGGAAATTTCTGCCCAGGAATGTTAGGATACTGTTGGTTTCTTCAAAAATTGAAGCCCAACTCAGTTTTTTCCTGCTCTCTTACTGTTCAGGATGTATGGGCTGTATTGTCACAGCTAATAAGTTATCTACAGGGTCAATTTTTATTACAGTTAACTTATAACTAATCATCCAGGTCCTATGCAGGTTTTTCCCATTTGTTAGGCGATCACCAGAAGTATACGATGAGATTCTTATGCTCTCCTCTATCCCTCTGTCGCTTTTGCCACTCAGCCTATTCCTAGCTCTGCAATCACAGTCCGTAAAATATTGGTGAACATCTAATCACAGAAGCTCCTGTAGAGTTAACCGTATTGGGTTATGTTAAACCATGCAGATTTTGTCATTATGATTCTAAGTAAGTTAAGTCTTTCATTTTGTAGACGTACCAATGCAAGCTAACCTGGTAACAACAATTTTAAATTGCTAGTTGCGCGTGCATAGAATTGCATCGCTTTAATTAAGTAACTAAACACAGGCTTAGGTAAGTGTGTACTGGTAAGGTCTTGTTAATAGGCAAGGCCTTAGTTGAAGCTTTTATAATTGTTGTTTACAATTCATCTGTCATTCATCTGTCATTCATCACTGTCAGAGAGTAGTTAGAATTTGCGTAGATATCCTCATCAGTACATGTATCTTCCTGAAGTTGTTTTGTTTTTCTGTATATAACAGTGCATATTCTGTGAAGGAGAGAGAAGGCACAACCTTTTCCAGTCCCTAACCAGGTTGATTTTCAAAGATTTCTATGTAGAGAAAGATGGTTTAAGAGTTGGCAGAGTTTATTCGTGCCTGAGAGAAAATTTAATTTGCTTGTCCTTTAATTTCTTAACTGGAGTTGATGTGTGTTTCATTCCTTGTGTATGAGACCTCCCTTTGACAGCACCATAAACCTTTATTGACAGATTTGTGCTATTTCAGGAAGTATTCTTGCACTGAAAAAAGGGGTTGTCGCCTCTCTGAGCATCAACTGGGTTATTTGTTTATGGAGTATCAGCTTTAGAGAGTCTTCGGTGCTTTTTTTCTTGGTTTGGTCATTCCCCCCACACACACACCTTGTTACCTTTCCTCTTATTACTCCGCCCACTAACTCTGAAGTAGACATTTTGCATATACTGTTCCTGTAGATCATATTGTCATAGCCAAATACGACACCTTTAAGGAAAAAGAGGACACCCAACATCTGGTAAAATAAACACTGTGTTTTGTATATTCAAAGCATTATACAAATCCAAGATAACAGTCTTTTTTTTTTTTTTTCTTTCTTCTTTTTAATTGTTTTACCTTGAGAAAGTCCTATCTCTTGGGTCTCCCTAGTAAGCTAGTGGCAACAGGGATTTTTGACTCTAGCTTCATACACATTCCTCCAAATAATTCCTCAAAATATGTAAATATTTTAATCATTTTTATTTATTTATTTCCACTGGGACTGAGGGGAGGAAAAAGGTTTTTTACATGTTTTAGTTTTTCTGTTATTTTTGTAGGTGCTGGAGAGAACCTGGAAAACACGATGACAGCCTTTCACCAGTGAGTACAAATAGAACTAATAATAATGCCTAAAGCAGCGATGTTCTCATTGTCTTCAGTGAGTGAAGCAATCAAGAAAGATAGGGCTTCCATCAGTTGTTTGGGGTACAGTGTCCTATTTCTGAAAGTCATCTCTCCTTTGGATGACTACAGTGGATTGCTAAACATGACTCCAATTTAAACAAGAAGGAATCGGGTTACCACAGACTATGATTTGTAAGCAATAATGTGGTAGACTGGCAATTGGAAATAAAACTCCTGAGGCCCGCTTCCTCCTGTGCTAGCTAATAAAACATGAAACAATACTGCTTCCATGTTTAATGCTGATTACTTCCATTAATTTATTTATCATTATAAAGCTATTTTTCATTGCTAATATCACACTGTTTTTTCTAGATACATTGATGTTTTTCAAAAGGTATTTCAGATCATAGCCTATACCAATATGCTAATTAGTATACAAGGCTAGATTTTAGCAAGTCTGAATCTGTTGACTGCTATTACGGCTGTAAGCAATTCTCAGATATTCCACAGTTTCATAGTATTCAGTTCCCTCCTCTGTATAGAAAGTTAATAATTTGTCTCCTAGAATTATTGTGACTGAAATCCTAGTGTTAGCTGATGTTCAGTACACCATCTGTAAAGCTATTAAAAATGTTTGGGATATGTTTTTTGCCTTCATCCACATACTTCATTTGCACAACGTGTGAAAGCCTCTTATCTAGGGGTTTAAAATTGAGTTGGTACTGGAAAGCCTTTTAAGCCTCCAGTATTTAAGCGGTGAATTCTAACAAGGTTCTCAAAGATATTTGAAAAAGAAGCATATCTAAAACTCCAGCTGCCAATGAGCAGTGACCAAATTATGCAGGCTTCTCTTTGTTTTGTTTGTGTGTTTTTTTTAATTTGCTTTGTGCTAAGTAGCCTCATCAGTTTGCACATTTCCTTGCAGGCTGAGGAGTGCCAGCTTTCCCAACCAAACAGTGCTATTGAAAGTACTGCAGTATTTTCTATCTCCATGGAAGCTTAGCATAGTTTTGTGGGTTTTTTTTCCTGCTGGCCTGCCTTTTTTCAAGTCTGTTAGCGCAGTTTCTGGGAAGGTCTTCTTTTTTTTTAACCATTTCTTAATTTTCATTTAGTGTCATACTGGGTTTATATGTGTAGGGCTCTTGGAAAGTTACACCATAACCTATTTTCTCATTCCCAGAAGTAAGCTGTAGTACTTAGAGTAAGGACTGTGCTAGGAGTCAAATAATGTTTTCTGATAATACAGACGTTTGTCTGTCTCTCTTCTGACCATTTTAATTATTTTATGACTATAGTGTAACAACTGTGTTGATGTCCACTTTTTGAACTCATCTCAACTGCCAGTAGCAAAGTTCAGTTACTTGTTTTGAGACCATCTTTGCTGAGTAAGACAGGCATATTACTTCTGCAGAAAGCAGAGTCAGAGCAATTCCCTTGCATTAGGCAGTAGAAGGTGTTCTGTCTTCCTCTGTGGAGGGGTAAAGGCTTTGTCCCTCCCATCTACTCATTCCCATCTCCACTGGTAAGCTAGCTGAAGGAATTGGGTAGAAAATTGGTGATCTGGGTGGCGAAAAATTATCTGGATTGGCTCAGGTGGCTGGTATGAACTAATCAATTTGTAACCCATCAGATTTTGCATGAAGCCAAATGGGGTGTGCCTGCAAGAGTTGTTTCTGCAGGTTTGGACAAGCAGGCATATTTGACCATCGATGTAGTTGAATCCAAAAGAGGTCGCTTGTCTGCAGCATAAGACCTACCCCCTTGTTTTTGCCTTGTTGACAGTAACCTAAGTATTGACAAGCAAATAGTTTTATTTATGCTCTATAACATTGATTGGAGAATATTTAATACTGTTGCATGATAATGAAGAAATTATTATAGTAATATATAAACAAAGTGTATGGGGGGAAGAGACATTACTGGTAATTTTAAGTTCCATACTAGCTTAACTTACAAGTATTACAGAAAGCAATTATAACTTTTTTGTACCAAAGACAGTATTTTTTTTTGTTTCGTATGGTAAAATGCCTAATAGATTTTGTGGGGCTGTAATCCTGTCATATTGTTATCGTGGTTTGGGCCAGACTGGCCACTGAGATGAACGACAGATGCTCTCTTCCTCCTCTCCTTGGTTCAGTGGTGGTTTTAGATTTTAAAATAATTGATTTTAAGCTAAAAGAGACACTTGTAGTGTCTTAAAGTATTTGGGGATCTGGCATAAAAGATGTCATAAGAATTTAATTACTAGTTTAATTGTCCCTAATACAGCCATGTACTTCAGTATCGTCTTGGCAGGAAGCTGCTAAATAAACTCACCAGATAATTTCTCATTGTATTTCCTCTTTTATGAATATAGTTTGTTTAGAGAGAAAGCTTTAAACACTGTAGTTACCGTAATAAAAGTACGTGATCAACTTAGTATTTATAAATTCTATATGTTGTGCTACATTAGGCCTTGCTTAATGGAATTTAGTTTCCAAGGAAAGGCTTTTCTTATATATTTCTTGGTATGTCATTTTACTTAAAAACAGTTGGAGTTAAACACAAGCAGAGCTCTGTCATCCTAATTTGCAAATGTGAGCCTACTTCACAACTGCAGTTTTGGGGCGGTTGGATCTGAATCCAACACGTTCTTCTGAATCTGGAGAACATCTGGAGTCTTCTCTGGAGCAATGTAGATTTGATGTGTTACTACAGAGCCATGGAACAAACTGATTTCCAGCTGAAAAAATGTAGCACTTCAAGGAAGCTTATTTAGCAGCAAGCTGCTAGTAAGAGCCTGGCAGATTCTCAAATTTGTTAACAAGGCAGGTTCTTGTTCTCCTTTTTCCATGCAGCATCAGTCCTGAATTTCTTAAGCAGTAATATTTCTGATAAATTTTGCTGGTTAGATGATAGGTTGTACTAGGTGGGAACATCTACAAATTTGGCAAATCTCCTGTGGCATATTTGGAGATGCTTTTCCTCGGGAGGGAAAATTGCCCAGAACAGGCTGTGTATCTTCCATGTGTAATACAATTTTGTTCCTCTCCTGATTCTTAATTAGTGGCACTGAAAAATAGTTAACAAATTTAGTTCAATTTGACAACCCTCTTCTTGATCATTATCCCAGCTGCGGAAGAAATTGTGTTAAACACTTATATGTTCAAATTTTTTTTGTTTTGTTATTGCATTTGTGAATGTTTATGGCAAGTCTGTACTTCAGCAGTCAATAAGGCCGTTTTCTTAAGGAAAAGGCTGTTACTGAAGTTGCAGAGCTTTGTGTCTGGTATAGACTGCACTCGACAGATCTTCTAGGTTTGTTTGTAGGTGGATAAAAAGAACAGCCCAGTGTTCTGCAGGAAGTGTTCAGACTTCAGGCTGGGACTTTTAGGTGTCTGCTGGAATGATACCTTCTGAGTATCTTTCCTAATGAAATGAGCAATTCACTTCTCGTTGGAGTAAAGCTTAGGTTTTTTGTTCTGGTGTGAGATTTCTTGTACTTATTTTTCATCAGTATTATTACTACTTTCTGCTTTCTTTTATTCCTCATCCTATGAACTAAGCTCCTATAGAGTGGATTTGGGATTGAATTAGGACTTTTCAAAGCAGCAGATTGGAACAGGAATAGCTATTTTTCTTTGAAAAAGATGACTGGGTGTTTTAGTGGCTTATTTTTTAAAATTTAAAATTAAAACTTTTTCATTAAAATAATAATAGTTATTTTTAAATGTAGTTTTGCTAGCCAAAAAAGCCAAAAGCTTGCAAGCCCCATTGCTAATTTCCTGATCCATCCATTCCTGATTAACTTAAATCAAGTAAAAAAAGTCTTTCACGTCTCTGTCATTTGTTGTTTATGCTTACCACAAAATTGATTACTTTTAAAAAAGAGCTTGCTTCTTCCAGTGGTATATGTGCTGATAGTAATAAACGTCACACTCAAAATTCTGAAACAATACTTTAGAAGTAGGTTTCTCAATACAGAGGCGGTAGGCTGCAATCGACAGATGCGCTACTTGATTTCTATGGAAGACGGAGCCAAAGCTCCCGAGTTCAAATCCCATCTCTGATTCATGATATGTTGTTTATTCTTGCATCAGCTTTCCCACTGCAGCAGAGTTATTTACTTCTTGCTTTGCAGCAAGATTGTGAGGATTCATTGCATCATAAAGCATGTAAAGTACCTCCACTGAGATTACTTTAATTGAATAACACGTATGTGTTAGGTTTGGACCTGTATGAAATACATGTGCGGTTCAAGGCAGACTTCTTTGCTTCCAGTGCGGTTAATATAGGAACAGACATGTTGGAGCTGGATTGTCACCTGACGAAAGATGAGCAAGTGGTTGTGTCCCATGATGAGAACCTGAAGAGATCAACAGGAGTTGATGTCAACATATCCGACCTCAAATACTCTGTAAGTTGAAGAATAAGTGTTAGTGCTAGATGATGTTTAAAAATGTGTTTGTAGAGTGACTGGGGTGGACAGGAAAGTTGTGTGTGTGTATGTCTAGTATCCAAAATCTAAGGAGGGGATTCATCTTGTCTTACTTAATAAAATAAAAAAAAAAAGGTTAACTAGGCTCCCTGGGTAGTCAAAGGAGAAAACCCAGCACATTTCTACAGGGTGATTAACCAATCCAACAGTAGGTTGGCCGAATAGCTTTCTGGAGGTGGGCCTATTTTGCCATACTGATGATAAAGGAAGCTTCGTCAACAAGCTCCTTCTCGTATCACCAGCTTTTTAATGGGAAAACCGGTAGATGAATCCCACCTGCATTGGTGGTTTTAAAAGCATGGTTTACAGAACTGTCTTCCATCTGATGTTTACATGGAATTCTCAGAATTTTCAAACAGGCATCTGGAAACATTTTGCCTTACTCAGCCACAGGTAACACAAGTCTTAAGAATGCCAAATAGTTTGAGTAAGAATGAACACGGTGCTTCTAAATCACATTTTGGGCAAGAAGATTTAAAAAAAAATATGATTTTTGTCTTTAAAGATAACTTACATGGCTTATGAATTATAATGATTTTGTCTTTTGTGAAAAAAGTCATTATTATATCCCTGCATATGAATTAGTGTTCCATTTCCCTTTATTTTTAAGGAACTTCCACCATATCTCTGCAAGTTGGATGTCACATTTCAGAAAGGTAAGTTTTTTGCTGTTTCAATTTACAGTAACTAATTTTCCATTGTTGTAGAGTGGCAATTTTTTATTTTGACAAAGGGAGTAGAAATGTGCTTCTATCAGTATCTTGATAAGAGAAGTTTTAAAAGGAAAATACAATACTAGCTTTAGAAAACAAAATATGGTGGGGTTTTTTTCATACCAGTTGGCAGTGGGTAAGTTTAAGATGTAAGCTATCTTCCTCTGAGTAAACATTTCCATTGTTTGCTTGTCTGCTTCTTGCAACTGCTTTCCAGTTCCGTTGTGATATCTTCAGAGGGTGCTGATTGAAAATTTGTTGTTCCAAAAACAAAGATAAGGCTGAGAAGAGTTTCTTTACAACTCAAATGCCATTGTGCTGGTGCACTCTGGGCTTGAAATACTGCAAGGTGTCAGATAATTTAGACATTTCCAGAAGGGTGAATGGAAAGAGTAGTAGTTATTGTGTGTATGACTTAAAGTTTGGTACCAATATTGCTGCAAGAGAGGAAAACCTAGAAAAAGAGTAACCTGTTTTCTTGTGAAAACTAATTTGTGGGACACTGATTTGAATAAAGCATACTGAGAGCACTTCCACCTGGAAAAGATTATATCAGGAGATTATATCAGGTGTGTTTGCTCGAGTGGCTTTGTGGCTGTCTTGTGTAGCCTTTCCATATTTGAATTGCCCAGTAACCAAATGTTGTGTTAAACTTTTCAAAATTGCAAAATACTTAAAATGCATCAAGAGGAGATCCATGACGTGTTGTTTTCACACATATATATCTTTTGTTAATGTACAGTAATACAAAGAGATGGTGAGAGCCTTCAGGTCATTCCCTAGAGCCACAAGCAGTTTCAGACAATAAAATTTGGGGACTTTGCCTTCTGTTCCCTTTACTCATTATGCTTCTTCAGTAAATTTTCCTAGAAGGAAAAGCTTTTCTCATTTGGTCTCATTTCATATTAATTTCATTGCATTTGGTATGTGGTAACTGAGCCCATGTTTGCTATTTTGGGATTTTAACGATGCCTGCACTCCTACTGTTGCTAAATAATGTCTGAATTTATGAAATTCAAAGCTAAACGTGCAATATGCTTCGGGCATTTTCATTACAGAAGTGAGCTTGTCATAATTAATTATAACTATCTGAGTGAAGTTTGGGGTTTTTTTTTTTCAGTTAAAAAAATTGCTAATTCTGGGAACTGTACATTATTTCTAATTTTAAGATAAAAGTTGAGATGTCAGAGCACTTACCTGCATTGTGTTAAAAATGGTCACAGCAGTGTCAATGTTCTTGTTTCCCCAGAATGTCACTGCGAGGGAAAAGACAACCGTATTCCACTCCTGAAAGAGGTGTTTGAAGCATTTCCACAAACTCCTGTCAACATTGACATCAAAGTGAACAACAATGTGTTGATCAAAAAGGTACATGAAAATCTGCGCTGAACTGAGACTGAATGTCACGTAATGATGTTGAAATTCCAAAAGAAAAGTTTCTTGGAGTTCCTAGCAGTCTATGACACTAAAAATCTGTGTTCTTGGACTGCTTCATCCTTCACATGTTAGATCTTGCTCCATGAATGAGGTAATGCAGAATACAGAGAAGTGATCTTGTGCAAGATACTCGGCAAACAGCTCTTTACTGACCCTTTATCCTGACATGAAACTGATGCTACACTGCTAGAGACGTGTTTGTTCTGTGCTTTGTATTAAGGGTCATATGGACTGTTGCCTACCAAAGCAGCATAAAAATATGATGTCAGTGTATAGAGAAGTGTTTATCACAGAAGAGGAAATCTGCTTTCTATCAGATAGTATTTTTCCATCTAGTTTTCTTAAATTATGTAAGGTTTTTTGTAAGTATAATGCTCTTTCCTTTTATCTGTTGACCTTGACACCTGTTTCTTCCCAGTCAAAGCAACACAATCATCTTCAGTTGGGAGAGAGCGTAGAGCTGTCTTTTCTGTAATGGCTTATGTAGTTGAAAAGGAGCAAGTAGAGTTTCAGTTAAATAATGCTGCGCATAATTTTCAGTGAATGCATGCTACAGTTCTCCTTTTTTATATTGCAGGTTTCGGAGCTGGTGAGTCAGTATAAGCGAGAGCATTTGACGGTATGGGGCAATGCAAATTATGAGGTTGTATCAAAGTGTCTTAAGGAGGTAAGAATGGATCCAGCTGACCTTTCTTCTTGCCTGCTTCTTACTCTGTGGTGACAAAATATACAGAAAAGCACCCTGTAAGTCAGGATCTAGCCAGCTATGCCAGACTTTCAGATGTGATGGGAAATTTTGCACTTAGATTGTATTCTGTTTACTACGCTGTTGCAATAAAACAAGCACGGTTAACACCCATATACTCTACAAAAAAATACTTGAGGAATTAAGCTTCATCATTTTTTATTCTTCTTCTATAAAATATAGGGTGTTATGATGGTATGCCAGGAGGTCTTACAGCCTGTTCTGCGCATCGTTCATCTGGTACAAAAGCAGATTTTTTAAGGATTGCTTATGGTGTGGTTTTGTTTATGAAAATAGTGGATGTGTCCACTAGTTGACATACAGTTATACTGATATAAAGCTATTTTTCAGCTATAGATTCTATGCCTTTTTGTGCTGAGGAATTGTACAATTTAGAATTAAATTAAAATTGTGCTTAGTCCGGGGGACTTATGCGCTTGAGTGAAATTGATCTAGTTGAGAGTACAGATACTGTTCTGATTTATCTGTGCAGGGCAACACACCATTTCCTACCTGAACAGCCATTATATTTATTCGTTTTTGTAGCATCAGTGCCCAAATATTTTGGTTCATAAACCAGCACCTTTAAAAATGTGTTGTGAAGTGAGTTCATGTGATATCAAACTGTAAAAGGTCCTGTGCTAAAGAGCAGCTTGCTCTTTGGGGTAATACTACTCTAAGGGAAAGTGCTGCATAGTGTCATGCAGTCTGGAAAGATGATGAAGGCAGGTAACAAAAGCAGTACTGTGACTAATGAAAATTTACCTTTTCAGGTCCCAATGCCCCTTCAAATTGTGTAAAATTTTTGCTTGGGTTACAAGGTACTGGAAAGAGTAATTTAAATTCAGTGGCAGCATATCATAAACAGTTGGCAGCCTAATCTATAGGTGCAAGTGCTAAACTTCACACATACATTGATGGGTAATTTTAATTGCAACAGCCTCAACAATCTACCAAGATAATTTAGAGTCTTTTCTTTCCTGGTTCCTGCAGAACGCTGACATTCCCATCATCTTCTGTTTGCAACGTGTCCTCCTGCTTCTTGGCCTGTTCTACACCGGTTTGCTGCCGTTCATTCCTTTCAAGGAGGAATTCTTGGAAATTCCCATGCCTTCAATCATCCTCAAGTGAGTTAGAGTCTGTCGGTGGGTGCTAAACTGAAACGATAGTAAAGCAAGTGAATGAAAATGCCAGCTTGAGCATTGGTTTAGTCGGTATGCTCGGGCTGAGGGTACTGTTTTGTTAGTTTAGGCACTTTTGTATATTCCTAAGAGAAAGCTTTGCAAATCTTCTGCTCCTCTGTATTTAACCTGTCTCTAGCCAGCTCTGAGTTACTCAGCTGCTAGCGGCTCTGTATATCGATGTTTCCTGTTTACAGCATCTCCTGTAAATACTGCCTTCATGCAGCTGCCTTTATAATGTAGCTTGTGCTGATGCAGTCTAGATAGTAATATGTCAGTGCCGTACAAATAACTAATTCTTGCCCTTTTCTCCCTCTTGAGAACAAATTAGTCTGAATAAGGCCAAGAGGCAAGTCAGTAATAGGGTGGATGTGAGATTTCACGTGCTCTTTGTTTCTCATACTTTACTCCAAATGCTACTGAATACCCATCTGCTGCTTTTCCTCAATGTAGCACATTTCTCTTGTGTAACCCAATTCTAAGTCACTGTCTTAGACAGTGCAATTACTGCACTAATTTGAGGGACTGCAAGATTAATTCTTCATGTTCCTTGTGCAGGAACATCTCAAATAATATTTTAATTTGCGTTCTGGTTTTGTTCCTCTTCCTCAACAGGCTGAAAGAACCTCAGAAGATTACAAGAAGCCAGAAATTTATTATCTGGCTAGCTGACACGTAAGATTTTAATCTTACTAAATTTTTATTTATATTTTGCTATATATTAACAGTTGGCTAAAGCAGCTAAGGCTAGCTATTGCTATAGCTACTTGTTACATTGTAATTTTTTTCAGTTTCTTCTAGCTTTTTTGTCAGTGCAGCATAAATCATATTCAAATCTTATGTAGGTGTTCCTGTATGCTTTTATTTTTCATATGCTGAAACATACTGAGGTGCAGTAACAGCGGGCATTATTCCAATCTGTCTATTTATTTTCTGTCGTTAAGCGTGTTCAGTTAATTAGCATGCAAGTAGACTCAGATTGCGGCTTTTGCATTTCATGGGATTGTGACTGTTTCATAATGTTGTCAGAGGAGATACTTTTTGGCTTATGTGGAACACTGCATTTTAAGAGTATCTGTGCTTCAGAGGCCACTTAGTCATATGCTTGAAGAGGTTGAACGTGATTGCAGTAAGTGTCTTCTGGCTCTTGCTTCTGTGTCTGACATCTCTTAGTTTGATTTCTTGAGTGGCCAGTTGAATTTTCATGTCTTCTAGTGTGAAGAATAAAATCACTTCTGAAAGCAAAGGGATTGATTCATCAGATGTGGTACAGGGTACCTGTATGATGAAGGAGTTGTCTGCTGGATTTGATCTCCAGAAGAGTTGATACAAATATCCATAGCTAAGGCAAAGTTCTGGGTTTCTATGTTAACCAGTCTTGAGTTGCTTGAACTAAAATTTTTCAATAATTAGGTTTCTAATCACTTTTGTGTGCCAAATTTTGAATCTAAATGCTTTATGGAAAATTTATTACAGAACATCAACAAACACTGAAAATTTCATATATACTTCAAGTTCTTAAATAATATTGTTCTCCTTTCTACAGATTGCTAATGCGGAAAGCACTGTTTGACCACCTCACTGCTCGGGGCATTCAGGTACAGTGTGGCAAAGCTAAAGGAAATGTGCTTTTAACGTAGTGAGAATTTGAACCAGGCAGATGCGGCCTTAAGATGGGTTTGTGTTCTCCCCAACATCTTCTGTTGTGCTGCTAGCTTATGCTGTTGTATTTGCAGATCTGTAGTTGCAAAGGAAGAATTGTATGCTTGGAAAAAGACTCTTTAATTTATATCCCTTTGAGATTATTTTTTTTCCCCACTTCAAACTTAAGCCTACAGAATCTGCTAAACTGCTTACCTGTTTTGGGCTTTTCACAAAATAGTATTTCAGCTTTTGGAAATAACAGAAGTCTCAGGTAATGAAGTGAAGTTGGAGTCACCTCTAGAAAATATCCCCTTTTGGAGGGGGGTGGGGAAGAAGTTGGATATATTTGTGTGCACATCTTTGGCATCACAGTGTAATCGTTTATCGTTTTAAATATACGCGGCATCATCTGACATGAAACAATTTAGGTCAAAAGTTACCTTTTTTTTATTATTTGAGTATTTCCTGTAATAATTTGTCTTTCTGTCTCGTCTTACAGGTGTATATTTGGGTACTGAATGAAGAACAAGAATACAAGAGGGCATTTGATCTGGGAGCAACTGGAGTGATGACAGACTATCCAACAAAACTTAAGGAGTTTTTACACAATTATCCAGCATAAAGGAAGAAAACCAAGGAAGTTCTTGCAGAATAGTTTGTGAGCCAAGGATTTTCTTCATAAAAAAAATAATAAAAAAAAAAAGAGCGGCATACACAGATCATTCTTTGATGATGATCTATTACCTTGTTGTCAAGTTGCTACCTAATGTAAAGGTTGTCTATTTATTTTAAAACTTTAATTACATAGTTTACATTTGTAAATAGCTCATTTAGCAACAGCGCACTTCACAAGTATTGATGACTAGAAAGAAAGTTGCTGGATAGGATAACTGTAGATAACAGGCGTTATTTTATCTGTCACAAGTGTTCCTAAGCAGATGTCAAGACATGTCAGTTATTCCAGTTATATTCTAGTAGGCAGAAACTAAAGAATTTCTGAAAGTGTATCCTGTGTGTATTCATTTGTTGTGTTGCTTTCAGTTTTCAGGTGACTTGTAGGGTAAAAAAAAAAAAAAAAAAGCAACGCACAGGAGAAATAGAAAACAGAATCTGTGGCTAGCTAGATAGTTAAGCGTGTGAAGTGTAGTCAGTAAAGGTGGTCACTTTTTTTACCAAATTAACTCACTTGGTCAGTATAGATTCACTCCGTTATTCTTACTGATAAGAACGTTGAGCTTGAGTTGCAACTGCATTTAGACCCCTTTCTGATGTGATGACTGTGACTTACTGGTCAAGGTCTAAATACAGCATTTGAGCCAGGTTCTGGGTTTGACACTGAGTTCCACTGCGAGGGTCTGGGTTTACCTCTGGTTCGGATCTGCCTGTCAGGCTGCCGTGGCACGGCAGTAGCTAGCTTTCCAGAAAGGAAGATTGCACTTACTACATATCACATTTACTTTGAAATAGTCTTTTCACAAAGGAAGGCAATGTTTTAGAAGTCTTTTGCACATTTATAGTTCTAACGTCTGTTGGCTGGGTGAATGGGAAGTTGTTTTTAGGGTGAGGGACCAAAGAAGACTAAGTTTGGTCAGGAGTTTCAGGAACAAATTAAAATGTTCCTGTTAAATGAATTCACCCAAAGCAGATTTATATGCATCCTTATAAAAGCAACAAGTGTCAGTCTAGGATGTGTGTAAATTTTAGTCTTTTCTCTCCACAAAAGTACATTCAATATTCATTAAGTTTATGTGCATGGACATGGAAGTAACTTTACTGGCAAAAGCCGGGAAACCCCAAGTGTGATGGAATGGGGTTGGATAAGAAGGTATTTCTGGAAGCTTACATGCTGTTCTGTCATTGTGAACAGGTGTTATATGTGTGTCAAACAGATTTGAGCCTGCAGTGCCTGTGTGCTTTGGTGTTGTCATGTTAGTGCTAGAGGTTTTCAGAAGGAATTTGATTACTGTAGCTTAATTATACACAAAGACATGTATAAAGCTCAGTCATCTAATCATCAGATAATGCTGAAACAAAACTATGGTTTAGTAATAGTATCTACTTCTTTAAGGAACTTCATGTGAAAATCATGGATCTTGAATATAGTAGCCAGATGAAAGAGTATATTTGCTGCAAGGTATACTCACTGTTACCAAAACTGGTAAAGTAAGTAATTTTTTTCCCTTGCTAGCTCAGATTTGGAAGGGCTCTTGTGTCATTCCGCTGGCTGTTGTGCCATACTTGTAGTCATGGAGCATCTTTGCTATTTCATTACGTCTGTCAGTGGGCTGTCAGCGTTAGAATGTCGAGTCCATCTGGATGGATAATACTTGTTTGTGCATTATAATTCCTTTCTAAGGAATATTTCTACATGAATGAAGTGGAAGAAACTACTGCATTTACGATTTAAGTGAACATGTGAGTTAATGGTGTCCTTATAGATATCTGCCTGGTTAAGATGGCTGTAAATTCAGTTTCCTCTTAACTTAATCAGGCTTGTTGCTCGTTGAATGGAAGAGAGGGAAATGTAACTTCCTAACTGTCTGTAGGAAAAAGGATGAAATTATTTATTACGTACTAAGCTTCTTGTTTCCCTTTCAGGCCAGTTATGTCTGGTCAGATAACTGCTAATAATTAGTCTCGTCATAGTTCTGCCTGCTTTCTAGTAGACACAGAATTGTTATAGAATAGGCTTCATATGCAGCTCAGTAGGTAAATGAAAAACTTCTGCCCTTTCTGTCCTAATTTGGTTTATTAGCCAGTCTGTAGCTCCAGATAGTTTTTTTGCAGTGTGGTTTTCTTCAACTCAATTTTATTGCTGTTGAATTTGCAACATGGACACCTATTTTAAAATGCAAATATAATTCTGGTTTTAGACAATACTACCAAATAGCACTTATACATTAAAACTTTTTTTATTTAGGCTAGGAAAAGCTAAGTTTTAAAATACCAGTCTTGATTTCTGGACTTGATCTGTAAAGGGACAGGTGATGACTGAGTTTCTCTCTCTTGTTTCCCTCATCACTGCATAAATAAACTATTTTGCTTTATTCTGTATTGACTGAAAAAACACAGCTATTGAAGTAGCAAACTTTCTTTTCCCTCTTTCTCTCTAGCAGTGGTGTTGGAAAATTCTGCGTTCAAAGATGCTCAACACGTTTTTAAACCAGTAGTCTTCCTACATCTGATGTAGCTTTTGACTGTGCTGTTTATACATGACCTCTCTTTGATAAGTCTCTCTGAAATTTCAGTGAGTCAAGTTACATGGGAGGGAAAGGGTTCAGTGCTGGAAAAGCTGCTGAACTTACACAGTCACCCATTTGGGATTTAGTAGAAGAGCTAAAGTTTGGTCTCTTGAGACAGATAACGTTGCATGGATGAGGCCGTGAATCTGAGCACCGGAGCCCAGGGCTTAGGCCATGATAATTGTTTGTAACAAAATAACGTGGAATTGAGGTAACTGTAGAATCTTTGTTCTATCAAATCATTGTTTTGAATATTCCAGAACTTGCTGTATGATTTTTAAACCACTTGTACAGAAAAGCATTTGTTGAGAACTTGCACAGCTGTCCAGGAGGATGTTCAGTTAATCTGTCTCTCCCAGGAGAGATTCTTTTCAGGTACTTTTAACTCTAAGTATTGTTTAACACTTACTGTATTCTCAACCCTATTGGAAAATATTTCATGTATGAAGGATGCTGCATGTATTTCATGCACTTTTAATTTGCAGAAAGTCTTGTGGACCTCTCTAGCTCCAAATGTATGAAGTGATTTTTTTCTTTTCTTGTAAAGAAAGATTGATGCTCTTGAAATGTGACACATTAAAACATCTTTGCTCATAAAAGGTCTAAAACTAAATACTTATTAATTGTGAGTTCTTTGCCTAAAAGTATAATTTCTGAGACTCTGATATACATACAGTGCAGTAAATATTGAGCTTTTGATGGTGGTCTTTTTATGTGGATAGGGTTGCTGAAAAGAAGGGGGTATCTTACATACTCTGAACTTTTAACCAATTTTTGGCAACGACATTGGTTTTCTCATACAGTAATCATAGCATCTGCAACTATGTGCAGCCTGCAGAGGACTTCTGCCTGCATCCTCCATGTGCAAATGAACTATTAAGTAAAACTTTTGCAGTCAATTCCAATTTGATTTTTCTGTAATTTCTTTTAAGACAGAAACAGTAGTCGATAAATGTGATCAGAAGTTGTCTCCATGTGTGATGCTAGAAAACAGTGTAGAGGATTCTGCTGGCTCAGCAATGCAGTATGTGCTGTTTCTTCATTGCTTCCAAAGGTCTCTCCGCAGAACAGGCATCACATGCTTCAAAGCAAGCAGCTTGTCTGTGCACCTGAAAATTCAAACAATCAAAATTTAAGAGAGGAGAAGAGTGAGAAGTTGTACAAATTACATACTAAACTCTTGAAATTTTACTATGTGTTACTCAGCTTGAGGGAGACGTGTTTTGTGTAATAATGGTAGAGGGAGAAGCGAGAATGAAGATCCCAAGTGTCTTTAACTATAACAGCATGTCAGGAGAGCTGTTTTCTCTGTATATATTTTTGCCATCAGCATCTTTAAATGTAAAGACCTGGCAAATTCTGTGTACTTGTCGAGGCTTGTAGCACCTTTAGCTCAAAACGGAGTCAGTCTGTAGTTCTGTATGGATGAAAACAGCAAGTAGAAATGAGTCAAGAAATGCTTCTTATTTTAATATTTTGAGAAATATTACATACGCTGGTGTTTTGGATAGCCATGCTCAAAAGTAATTGTGTGAGAGCATTGGCCTTTGCACTTCAGAGTAAAAATGGCTGTCAGCATCAGAGCTGCTTTCTGATTATTTATTTTTAGAAATCATGATCCTTAATTCCTAAGCACAGTAATGCATGTCTAAATAAATACAGCTTTTTTTGGTTGGGGGACATGTCATCTTTTTTTAAGTATACTGTTTGATCTTCATCCAATTTAATGATGGCCCAATTCTGGCAGCATTATAAGATTGTGTGTGCACATTTATATTACAGGTCAGGTTTTGAAATTGCTGACAAAATCATCTTGTGTAGCCTGGTTCTAGACATCTCCTCTGACCTATAATCAGGCTCATCGGTTTAATTACAGAATGTAGCTGTTCACAGATGCGGAGGATATCATATTCTCTCTATGTATGTATATAATATCTGAATTGAATAGGGAAAATGAAAACTCTTAGTTACTTGTGCATGTAAATATGGTAGCAGAGGAACTGGCCTGAGAGTGAAATCAGAGCCTTCATTGTAAAAGGGCTTTATCTGCTTTTTTCACTTGATTAACAATCATAATTTTCTATGTTAAAATGGTAAATATCTGATAATTTAGACTTAATTTTAAAAATTACCTTTCTTTGGCCCTTAAATTATCCTGAAATACCTTTCCGTAATGTCCTAAGGGCACATTTTTTCTAATTAAGCTATTTTCCCCACACAGCGCGTCTTCTATCTACCTCCTCGCTTTTGTAGAGGACTTATGCAAAAGATTGTGGATAATCAATGAAAGATCAATGGATTATGGACTATAAAAATCCTTTGACAGTTGACAGGTGTCTGCTTCTGGATCGGGGTCAGCAAACTGGCTGTGTTTTGAGTCTGTCCATATTAACAGGTATTCCACTTGGGGCAAGTT